TGAACATTTACAACTTTCTATAAGTTCCGTAGTTAGAATATGAACATTTACAACTTTCTCACGGATAAGGGAAAGCGTCGATATGCAAGAGTTTACCCCATTGAGTGCCTTTACTTGAAGAAAGATGTTAATTCCATCTTGATTGTTCTTTACAGAAGAGTCATGAGATCCTCTTGCGGGTCGCCTAGCTTTCATTATAGTGGAAACTGGTACCAAAACCATCCAATTGGATTTCTGGGAAGTGGTTCTAAAAGTGTTCTACGGTTAACATGCCTCGCTCTAAGTGTAGTAGCTTGTTGGGTGCCTATTGCTAAGTAAAGAATTGAGTATATGCTTGGTCCCTACTAAATGAATTCTTTCCTTGTACTATAGTTCCATTACAAGTTTGCTTGTTCCTTGCTTACTTATGATATGAGTTTGCTTGTTGAGTTGAGTATCTAAAGTGAGTGGAGTCTTTATCTAAAGTGAGTTTCGTCTTGTATATAAAGGGTAATATGAGAGTCTTGTATATAAGTGAGTAATCATAATATCTTATATAAGTGAGTAATCATAATATCTTATATGTATGCGATGTTAACTAGAAATCATAATATCTTATATGTATGCGATGTTAACTATATTAATTAATACAAATACAGGCTATTCGATGGATTTCAATCTTACTGAGATGCTCCCGCTCAATACCTTCGTGCTATTATCAGTATAGAACTCTCATATCTAGTGAATATTGGCCATTAGGCTAATGTTCTATAAACAGGATTGACAAGCAGGATCCTAGCCAACTTGAGTATTGCCGAAGAAGCCACTCCTGAATTTCTGGAAGCTTTAGTCAAACATCTGCAAGAGCGACAAAGTCTGTTTTGGAACGAGGCAAAACCACAACATTTTGTATAACTCTCTATCCTGTTATTCACAATTCTTTATATCTGTGGGAATTCTATCGGGATCTGGGTGAATTTGAGCTCGTGAGAAAGCATGCTTCACAGCCACTCATTCGTCCTAACCAAACAGTACCATCTTTCTCTCAGCCACTAGTATTAAGGAAATCCCTTTTGATGACTTAGCTTATGCTTAGTATAGTGAGTCGGGCTACGATTCGGAAGTAAGGTAACAGGATTCGTTAATGCACCATCTTTCAAGGGATCCGGAGTTTTCTTTTCCAGAAAAGGTCCCCTCCTTCAATATAATGATTGGGTCGACCAGGCCAGATCCTAAGTGCAATCTCATTCTCGGGTCCGACCAGGTCCGGGCCGATCGTGAGTCAATATCCAATCTAAAACGTACATTGCAGTTCCAGCGGAAATACTGGG